ATATATATATACTTTGCTGGTTTTTGTGTTTCTCTAGAGAACCCAATCCAACACAGTCCTCAACAAGACACAGTGGCTGTGATGATGGACTCAGGTATAGCAAGGATCATGAGGCTGGCACAGGACTGGGTAGTGTTTTGTTCTGCTTTACATAGGGTTGCTATATGAGTTGGAGATGACTTGACGGCACCTAACAACAACAATAACAATCATACTGATTATCTCGTGAAATTAATTCTTGATGAAAATAATTATATTACTCTACATATGTCAGTCTGTTGAGATATTGAATTATTTTCTGCTTTTGGTTTTTTTTTTGTGGTTTTTTTTGTTGTTGTTATTATATATTAATTTATTTTTCCCTATTAGGAATGGAAAGAACGTTATGGACACAATAGAGAAGATTCCACTAGAAACAGAAATGTTCATACCAACCCAAAAGAATCAAACTTCTCAGATATTAGTAACAATCGGTGTAAGTAATAATTTTCTAGATCTCTTGTAATTTTTAAAATACTTGCTTTGTAAAGGCTGTGAATTAGGATAAAAACCAAAACCCATTGCTGTCAAGTTAAGTCTGACTCATAGCAACCCTAGAGGACAGAGTAGAACTACCAAGGCTGTATTCTTTACAGAAGGAGACTGCCATATCTTTCTCCCAAACCACTAACCTTTCAGTTAGAAGCTGAGTGCCTTAACCACCAAGGTTCCTCAAGAATTAGAATATCCATTTGAAAATGCATTTGTAGAACTGTAAATGTGCTTTTGTAGTGACTTACCTTTCACACATCCCTCAATGTATAGAAGGAAGAGGAAACTCAAATATGCATTCTGGTAGGAGAAGGAGAACTGGGATATAAAATGATAGCTGTGAGTGTAATAACCTAAGTAATATCAGCACTTGTCCCAAACATGTTCTAGGCAACTGCCTATTTCTACTGTTTACTCAGATGGGTCTTTTTTTTTTTTCCTAAGATGTATGGTATTAAGCCATTTTCATAGTAATTTATTGACTTACCATATATATCAGGCACTTTTCTAGGTATACCATGTCCTTTAATTAGAAGCTAATACCACGCAGAAGCCATTTGCCACTTGGGGCAGGTTAGAAAAACTCCTGATGTCCCTGGTCTGGCATTGACACACAGCAGAAGACACCTGCCTTGGGGATGTGGCAAGAAAACTACAAATAGTCCTTGACTTAAGATGGGGTATCATTCTCATGACTCTGTCTTAAGTCAGTTTTTATAGAAGTTGAATACCCTATTTTTCTTTCTCTGTTTTCATTAATGTTATTAGTCATTGTTACTGTGGTAGAGTGAATTACTTAATATGGTTTCTGGGACTCCCACCAGATGAGTGGGTGGGACTATGCAAATGTGAGATTCTTGTGGCCCATGAAGAGGATTGAATGCGTGCTAATTACCCCCCCAGTGGGGGTAGGACCATGTAAATAAGGTGTATGGAACCCTAACGTAGGGATTGGTCAGTTTTGCCATCTTGCTAGGCTTAAAATGAGCCATCCCAGAAGTAGAAAGGGACTCTCACTACCATCAGAAAGAAAAGCCAGGAGTGGAGTGCATATTTGGACCTAAGATCTCTGCTGAGACAGTAGAGAGATGGCAACAGCAAAGGCAACAGAACCAAGAGACTGGCATAAGACAGAGCAGCAGGCTTCCTTGCCCACAGAGTGAGAAAGCTGAGTGCATTTGGATAGGACACTTACTGGCAGAGTTGGGTGTCTCTCTGGGCACCTATCAGCATAGCTAAAAGAGGATTGTAACACTTGCCATAGCAGAGCAGAAGCCAGGCCTAGGGTCCAAGGGTGCCTATGGGCATGGCTGAGGTGAGGCTGTCCTGATCAAAGAATTGTATCCTGAGTGTTCCTGAACCTGAAATTGTTGCCATTGCAACAAATTTTCCAACCCAGAAGAGAAGTAGAGAGTGCCATAGGAGGGACAGTTGCTATCAGAATTGGCAAAAGGATTAAAGAGTGACAACATGTCCGACCTCTGCCTCATAGGAACCAGCCTTGGGCTGCTGATGTTCATCTTGATTCTCTCTCCCCTTCATGTAGTTAGAGGAATTCAGACACTGCCACCACATCATTTTTGTAGTTTCCTTTTATTATCGTTACCTTTATAAATCCAATCTTTATTTCTCTTTTTGGGGATTGGAAACATTATATAAAATTTACAGATATATTTTAGTACATAATATAACTCTATGAATATACTAAAAGACCATACATTTAAAAGTGCACAAATCATAAAAATTTATTCTGACAATCAAGAAGAATTGGACAGTGTTGGCATTTTGACAGTTGTGGTAATAACTCCACTTGTGGAAGGTTCTGGATTATCTATAGGAATAGGGATAAGGTTTCTAGTCAAAAAATGAGTGAGAGTTGTCTGTATGGTCCGTTTCTTTTTTTATTCATCTATTTTATGGTACCATCTCACTGTTTCTCAAATCTGCCTATCAGCTTGATCAAAGTGATCAGTGTTTGGGTCCATGTTTTGAAGCAATTGAAGCCCCTGATTTAGTTTAGAAAACTGTGACAGAGTTTTGAACAGTGACTTATAAAATTGAATGAGAATGATAACATCTGCAAATTATGCACTGCAACACTGTATGTAGTATATACTACTAACAATTAAAGGAGCTCTGGTAGCATAGTGCCTAAGGCACTTGACTGCTAACCAGAAGGCTGGCGGTTCAAACCCACCAGCCACTCCTCGGAAGGACGGTTGGGCATTCCTACTTCCGTAGTGATACTGCCTCGGAAACTCAAGGAGGGGTCGCTATGAGTTGGGGCTGACTCGATGGCAAATAACAACAACAACTAACAATTAAAACCCATCCTCTGCCTTAAAGCAGGACACAGAAACGTGCACAAAAGATACACACAACAGAAGCAAAATTATTACATGCACACTGCATTACCAGCGGCAGCAAACACTAGGCTGTGGGTAAATGCATAGACAAGTGAGAAGATCAGGTGTAGGTAGGCGAACAGGAATATATCCAAGACCAAGGTTAGATATGGTGAAGATAGTCTTAAATAAGTACTTTTACTACAAAATTATCCATATACATCACAGAAGTAACAGGGGGTGAAGTTAGCTTCTCAGAGACAACCAAACAAACACCTTGAGGGAGAGAGTCACCAGGCCTGTGGGCTCTGGACCATAGTCTCAGGGGACATCATGCTTAATTGGCACAACATAGTACATAAAAATCTTGTTCTGTATCCTACTTTGGTGAGTAGCGACTGAAGTCTTAAAAGCTTTCAGGTGGCCATCTAAGATGCAACTCTGGGCTCATCTTGTCGAGGAAGGGAGAGTGAAGAAATTCAAAGTCATTTGGAAACAATTAGTCCAAAGATATGATGGACCATGAGGGCCTCAGCCTTCATGACCCAGAGAGAAGAACTAGTGGTGTCTGGCTACCAATGCCAACCACTCAGATAGGAATAAAAGTGGAGATCCTAGACAGAGTGGGAGGAAAACTGTGGAACAAAATTAAAAAACACAAAAGTGACGAGAATTACTGGTTGGATAGAGACTGGTGGAACCCCTGAGACTATGACTCCAGGTCATCTTTTGGGCCTGGAACTTGACTCATTTCTATAGATTAGCTCTCAGCCCAACAGTAGAAAGATCTACAAGCAGAACACCTACTCCAAGGAGATGCACCCCTTAGATCAATCAGCCATGAAATACCAGAAAGGCATCATTCACATAGAGAGGAAGCTGGACAGACAGGAAGGCATAGAGCAAAAGGGTACAGGGAAGGGGTAATCACAGGAAGGAGAGGTGAGGAGACCTTTTTATAGTTGGAGATTGTAATTGGGGCCATGAAACCACATGTGCATGAACTATTGAGAGTAAAATGAATCTGCTTTGTAAATTTGCATCCAAATCACAATAATAATAATAATGAAACCCACCCCCTACCATCGAGTCAATTCTGACTCATAGCAACCCCCGTTAAGTGACCAAAATGGTAAATTGCTTCATCTTCCAATTCTGTGGAGTGATTGGTGGTTTTGAACTGACAGCCTTCTGGTTAGTAGTCACATGTGTTAGGCACTGTACCATCAGAGCTCCTTACTAACAATAAGATGTACAAAGACAAAGATGGTCATCATAACTCGAATACGTTATAAGTTGGGTACTACCTGTTTTTTCACCCAGGACCTAGCACTGAGTGGAAGGCAGAGGTTGTTCTTTTTTGGGAGATGCAGGAGTGCTGATAGAGCCCAGTTACTAAGGCTTAGCTGCACAGGGGTCTTCCTAAAACTAAGGAAGGAGGAGGAAAGCCAAGAATCCTCCCCTACTCAGCTACAAGCTTTTCACTGAGTATAAATCAATAGAAATTTACTTTAGGGGAGCAGTAGAAACATGGAGGTAGATCTCCTTACCCCTTTCTGTGGCACAGGTGTTCAGTGCCTGCTGATATCTGAGGATGAGCAAAAGTACTGAGAGAAAGCATCTGGCACTTGAGACAAGACTAAACATAAGACAACAGCATTCTTTCATTGGAGAAGTGTGAAGCCTGTGGGAACTTAGAGAAACTAAAGCAACAACAAAGCCCAGTCCAGGCCCAACTACAGATTAGATTGACTCAAACCCTCAACATTACAGGTCTACTAGAAGAAATGTGCCTATTTCTGGGCACGACTATTATTTATCTCTGTCTCTACTTTTTTTGATACATGATATCTGGCATTCAATCAAAAGCATGAAACAACACAAAAAAGAAAATAAGAGCAATCATTAAGAGATAAAGTAGTCAGCATAACCAGACCTATAGGTGGCTCACATCTAGGAATTATAAGGCAGAAATTTGCAATAATGTTAATATATTTAAGGATCTAGGGGAAATGCCAGAAAACATTCAGGAACAGATGGAGAATTTCACCAGAGGTATGGAAACTGTTAAAAAGAGCCAAATGAAAATATTAAAAATACAGATACTCCCCAACTTACAACAGTATTGCATTCCAGCAACTCTGTTGTAAGTTGGCTCTGACATAAGTTGAATACCTCATTTGTCTTTTAGTTTTCATTGTTAGTGCCTTTTGTTACCATATCTTTATAAATGATAGCACTGAATCTGAGAATAACATCATCTGCAAATTACACACTGCAACATTGTATATAATTAAAGCCACCAGAGCTCCTCCATGTTGTTGTTGTTGTTATGTGCCGTCGAGTCAAACCCAACTCATAGCGACCCCTCCTTGGGCTTCCGAGGCAGTATCACTACGGAAGTAGGATTGCCCAACCTTTCTTCCGAGGAGTGGCTGGTGGGTTTGAACCGCCAGCCGTCTGGTTAGCAGGCAAGTGTCTTAGCCACTATGCTACCAGAGCTCCCATAGTATATATTATTAACAATAAAATATAGAAAAAAAAGAGTTGTAAGTGTAATATGCTGTAACTCGAATATGTCATAAGTAGGAGACTTACC